GGGGGGGGGGCTGGCCCGGCAATCCCTTCTTCCGCCGCTAGGGGCGGAGTGCGGGAGTGCGCCTGCGCCTGGCCGAGGGGGCGGCGCCAGCAAGCATGGCGGCGGCGATGGGGGCTAGGGGGCTGCTGGCCCGCGCCTGGGGGCGTTCAGGACAGGTAGGGCGGGGAGGGGGGGGGGCGCCTTCTCCGGAGCCCGCCCGCGGGGTTTCCCGGGCCGCGTCCACGGTGGGCGGGCGGGCCGGGCGCAGCGGGGTGACTGGCCGCCGTCTGTCCGGCAGAGGGGCCTGGCGGCGCGCGGACCGGGCGAGGAGGTGGAGCGGGCGCAGCGCGCGGCTGAGCAGGCCGGCCCCACCGTCTTCAGCCGGATCCTGGACGGCTCCCTGCCGGCGCACCTGCTCTACGAGGATGACCAGGTGGGCGGCGGTGCCGGGGGGCGGGTCGGGGGCGGGGGGGCGGCGCAGGAGGCTCAGCGCGCTCTCGCTCCCCGCAGTGCATCGCCTTTCGGGACGCGGCGCCGCAGGCTCCGGTGCACTTCCTGGTGATCCCGCGCCGGCCCCTCGCGCGCATCAGCCGGGTGGCCGAGAGCGACGCCCAGGTGAGCGCGGGGATCGGGCCGCGCCCGGCCTGGCCAGAGGGTGAACTGCGGGGCGGCGGGCGGGGATGGGGCCGCCACGAGCCTGGCGAAGGCCCCGCGCCGTCCGCCGATGCTTCCCTGCCTCCTAATCTCGGCTCTGGAGCCTGGCACGGAGGGGGGAGGGAGGGGGGGGCTCTGCGACCACCCTTCGATCTCCCTCCCTCCCTCCCTCCCTGCCCAGCTCCTGGGACACTTGCTGGTGGTGGCCAGCCAGACCGCCAAGGCGGAAGGCCTGTCGGAGGGCTATCGCGTGGGTGAGTAGAAGCGATGGGGGGGGCTGCCTTGCCTGGTAATTCCTGGAGGGGGGATGATGGGATGCGTGCAACCGATCAGTCCTGTGGAAGACACCCCCCCCCCCCCGCCCTCTCCCGGTTTCCTAGCTTCCTGCCTTTGGTCGTCTGAGCCCCTCCTTTGGATCTGTGTTGGTTCTCTGAAGGCTTGGGGGGAGGGGGCTCAGCAGACGTCTCCCATGCCTCCCTCCCCAGAGGCCCTGCCCCAAACAGAGCTGGGTGGGAAGCCCCACTGCGGTCCTGGGAGGGAGGGGGTTGGAACTTCCTCCTGCTGCCAAGGGCCCCCTCCGACCCTCTCCCCTTCCTCTTGCAGTCATCAACGAGGGCAAGCACGGGGCGCAGTCCGTCTACCATCTCCACCTCCACGTGCTGGGGGGACGCCAGTTGGGCTGGCCGCCCGGCTGAGCAAAGCTGTGCTGTACAGGAGCTGCTCTCAATAAAGGCCTGCGCTGGGCAGGCGGCAGGGAGCCTTGGGGCTGCGTGGGCCTCTTTCTTCCCAGGGGCTGCCTTGCTGGTCCTGGCCGAGTGCGGCTGATGGGGACCGTCCAGAGGCCTTGGGGTTTGGATCAGGTCGGGGAGTTGAAAACACAGGCAAGGAAACCTCGTCCAGTAACAGAAAATGCCCAGGAGCCTCCCTGGTAGTGACTCTCCCTGTCCCCCGCCTGCCTTGGGACCCACAGCTGGGCGGGATTCTGAAACCACCGCCTGGGAACTGGTGGGTGAAGAAGCGGGGGGGGGTCTCCTCTGCGGCCACAGGGGGTTACTTATTAATCAGACTTCCAGCCTGGTCACCCCTGAATGGCTTGGCATATAAAAACCATGAAACCAAGAAACAAAACCCCAGAGAGGAAGCTGAAGAAGGCCGGCACGAGCGGGGAGTGTTCAAAGGGAGCAGACGGGGGGGGGAGGGGGGGTGTTGCACAAGCGGCCGGTACGCACGCAGCTCTGTTGGCACGAGCAGTGTGCCCACGTGCCTGCCGCACACTTGAATGGAATCCACGCTCACCCACTGCTTGCACAGGAGAGGCTTGCCGGCCGTCTCCACGGCCTCGTTGCAAACCCCTCACGGCCCACAGGTTGGGGACCCTTGTCTTAAAGGACCTCAGTTGGGGGTGGGGGAGGGGAGCTGGTTTCTGAGCGGAGGGGGGAGCTGCAGTTCCGGAAGACCCTCTTCTTGGGCCCTCCTGAGTCCCATTATTTCGTTGGCGGGAGAGCAACATTGAGGGCCACATCATTGGGATCCCGTGATCACCAGCCCAGCTGGCATTGCCCTCACTGCTCCGAGTGCTGCATTCTGGGCCAGCCCCAATCTCCAAATAGTCTCCAAGGGCAGCTCTGCGTACAGCACAGTATAACAACCCATCCACAAACTGGCCAGGGCACGAGGGAGACCGCGTAGGCCTCCTGGGCCAGGAAAGGCTGCTGCCCCTGGCACACAAGGGAAGCCTGCCAGGCCTTCTTGGCTGGGGCTGCGGCCTCCTTCAAGCAGCAGCTGTGAGCCTGGAAGGAAGCAGCCCCGGGTTGTGCAGTGGCCCCAGACTGCGTCGCATGGTCACATTCAGAGCCAAAGAGGAGGATCCCAAATGCTGGGGAGGGGCAACACCTCTACTCAGTCTTGCTAGGTTCGCGCTTGAGCTTTCCACCCCCACCGGAAAAAACCTTGCAAGGTCCTGGGATGCCCTTTGGCTGAACTCAGGTTCAAGATGCCCGGCTGCGCACCACTGGCTGGCTGCCTTGGGAGAAGAGAAGGTGCGCATCTTCACAGGAAGGACGCTTAACCTCGGACAGGGGACCCCGACGCAAGAGGCCTCCTGTAGGAGTTGGGTGAAAGGCCGAGAGCCTTGAGCAAGGCTGCCTCTCACCTCCTCTGGAGAAGGGAGGAGAATCGCCCCAGTGCCTCCCTTCCACTGCAAGCTCTCCACAGGTGGGGGCCACATTCCTGCCTGGGAAGGGTCTCCCTAATCCAGCCTTTCTGGGGCCCTCTGCAACTAGCCCAACCTCCCACACCACCACCACCTGCAGCCCTCCCAGGTAAGAGGCCCCTGGCTGCAAGGGAGGCTCTGTGAGGGGGGTGCTGCTTCCTCCAGGCCCGGCACGTGTCCCCCACTCCTCAAGCAGGCCCCTGTCACTGGATCCGCTGGCCTTCCAGGTGGCCTGAGCCCAGCTGGAGGGATGGGAACCGGAAGGACATGGGAGGTCCTGGACCTTTTGCTGAGCAGCCTCTGACACCACAGCTAGGTTAGCTTGGCCCAGCCGAATCCCAGCCGCTTCCTCTGCCAGCGGCCTGCGCAAATCCTCCCAGCAGCTCAGCTGGTGCTCTTGTGCCCCCCCCCCCCCGAGGATTGCTGGTTGGTTGCCCGGGTGTGAGACAAGCTGAGAAATCTGTACCTTTGGCTACTGACAAGCCTGCAAGGTTAAGATGGCTCTCATGCAGCTCTGGCTGGACTTGCCATTGTGTTCCTCCTACAGGCGCACGCACAGAGAGAGAGAGAGAGAGCTAGGTGTCTCTTCTGCTGCTTCCTCTGGGCCTCTTGGAAAAAGCAGGGAGCCCTCCAGGAACAACCAGCCATGAAAAGCTGCAGGGCCTTTTTGCCTGTTGGTGCCAGGCAGCAGCTGGCCGCTTTGGGGAACAGCCCAAGTGCCCTCTGAAAGCCTTTGGGGTCCTGCCAAGCAACTGGTCCAGCAGGGGAGCTGGCACCAGCAACCGAAAAGCCTTGGGGACCATCTGGCCGTGTCAAAGCAGAGGCGTTCTTCCTACCATAGATTTCACCACAACCTCCCTGAGAACCGAAGTCAGCCGAGGGCGTGAGCTCCTCTCCTGCCCACCCGGGCAAGGAATCTGGTACAAGGTGGACCTGGAAGCTGTGGGTGGCAAGCCAGGCCACCTTCCTTTTCAACAGCAGCCAAGCAGGGCACTCTGGGTGTCACCAAACAGGGCTGCTCCACGGGTTTTTGTTGTAGCTCCTGGGACAGTTCTGTGCTTCCTAGCAAATGCACACCCGGGAGGGGAAAACTGCATCGGGGCATCTCCGCCCCCCCAGGGATGAAGGCAGAGGCAGCCCTGAGATCCCTGACAGGTCTCCGTAGGGGGCTTTGCCACAGCTTGAGCTCTGCAGAAGAAGCCCAGGTGTGTGATGGTGCACACCTGTGCCTCTGCCTTAAGGCCTGAGGGGCTGGCAGTGGAAGGGCTGCCTTTAGGCATGACAGGCCTGATCTTGGCAGCCCCACCTTTTGATCCGGGGACCCAATTGGGGGCCCCCAAGAACTCATTGGGCTTATCCAAATCTTGCCTCTCAGCAGCCTGGAGCAGTTTCGGTGCCAAGTGCCCGTTGAGCAGAGCAGCTCTGCCCACCTGGCGGGAGCTCTTTCCACCTAAGAGCCACTGCACGTTCTCAGCGCCCCTCCCCCATCTTGGAGAGCCGCAGGAAGCACCCAAAGACCGATGGCTTGGAAGAGGGCACGGCCCCTGAGGGATTGGCACCAGGGTCCAAATTCATGGGCAGGTCTGGGCTATGCTGACCTGCCAGTCTGTACTAATGCAGAGGTTAAAACCAGAAGCCAGTCAGAGAAACAAGCGAGGGACGGTGTCATTGGCCTCATCAAAAGGCTCCCACCCACCCAAAAAAACATTGTGGCCAGCCAAACATTTGTGCCAGCAAATTGTCCCAATGGATGTCCCTGGATAATGTTCGGGTGCAGGCGGGTACAGGGCTCAGCACCTCCTGGCTGGATTCATACAACCCTCTCAACCCAGATTCAGTAAAAATTTAGCCTCAAAATGAAAGCACATTTCTTTTTTGTACAGGGAGTCCTCCCTTAATAGCCACTCATTTAGTGACTGTTTGAAGTTACAGTGGCACTGAATGAACGGAACTCAGGGAGATCCTTGTAGTTGTAGCTGTTGCCACACGTGATCGCAAACTGGGCAACTGACCACCCTGCAGTCCCCCGGAGCAAAACCGGCCACTTTAGCTTCCCACAAGGAGAGTCCTGCGATATCCTTGACTTCTGGGGTCGTAAGTCCACTTAACGACTGTGCCCTTTAGCGATATAGATTCTGGTCCCAATTACCGTTGTTAAGTGAGGACTACCTTTAGATAACAGAACATACCTGTTTTTAAAAAGTACCATAATGTATCAAGGCACCTGCCTGCAGCTGCCAGCACAAATTCTGCCCAACTTTAGGGAAAAGATGTACTACCTGATTGGAGGCTATGCAGCAATGGCAAAACGCCTTGCTATATAAAATAGAAATTTGTCAGAATTTAAGCAGGAATGGCAACGCAGATACATATTCAAAAATAATGTTATGCTGCCTGACTCACAGCGACTCGGCACGAAAGCTACCAGACAAATGATGGCAAAGGAGATGAACCCAGAGGGAGGCAGGGGGGAAAGGAGGGGGGCTTGGTGGTCCTTGGGTCTGGGTGCAGAGCCACATATTTAGGGCCCTTCAAAATCCCAGGAGCTGTTTAAGGTGGGGGGGGGGGGAGGCTCTCTTCGGTGGGCAGGGGCTTCTGGGCTCCCCGCAGTGGTATTGTTGACTCCGTGGCGCTTGGAAAGCACCAACCGGCTGTCACGGGACACAAGGGAGGGTGGGCCCTCTCAGCACTTCTTGCTATTTTGCCATTTAGCGATAATGCCCTGGAAATTAGGGTACCGCACTGAAAGATTTTAAATCATTTGTTAATGCTAGATTGAGCCTCACTTGTGTTTCTAATTCTCATTAAGTACTGATGTTATTTCTATTGAATCCGTGTCTTTCGTTTAAATAAACAAATTTTAAAAAGCAGCTACAAATGTATGGTTTAACTGGCTGGAATCCAGTAGACGCTGAATTCAAGGATCCAGTTTGTTTCTTGGCGAACGGGCTCCATGTGGGAAGAGGGGAAGCGAGCAGAGAGCCGCGCCCACCCCCCACCCGCCCCATCCGTTGGGCCCCGCCTTCCTGGCTTCTCTGGGGCGAGGAGGGGCGGGCTTGAATCCCATGGCTGCGAGGGGGAGGCCACCTCCCCGCCCCAGCCTGGACTATGTCAGGCTCTCCTGGCCCTCTCGTCCCTCGGCTCTTTTTCTCTAGGTAGCCCACCGGCAGCCCCGCCCCAGCCCCAGCCCCCCCCCCTCTAAATTTAGCCGCCTGGCTCGAGGCTTCGCCGCGGGAGGAAGGCCGGGCGGGGGGGGGGGGGGGCGAGGCTCGGGATGAAAGCCCTTCTTGTTCTGGTGGGCAGGCCGTGCGCGGGGCGGCCGCCAGAGGGCGCTGCAGGGAAAGCGGAACCAACCCGGCCGGCCCCGCCAGCGGAGGGCGGTTCTGGGCGACCCTTCCGCGCCAGAGCGCTCAGGTGAGCCGCGCATCTGCGGCGGCGCGGCCTCTCGGCTCCCACCCTGGGAATGAGGAACCGGGAGTGATGGGGTGGAGGAGACGCCCACCCCCGACCAATCGCCGATAGGGAGACTGGGTGGTGCCGGAGCC